ATCCTCTACAATAGACAGGTATACCTTTGGTTTGGAAATCAACTAATATTTATGCATAATATTTTAGAAGATTTCAAACCAAAAGACTCATCAGGTTTCATCAGATTTCATCCAAATGAATCATCAGGTTTGGTTTGCTGTTTGTTTTGTACATTATTTTTCCCAATTTCTGACTCAACACTTAAAGTCACATCAAAATATTTTTTGACTTACTCTTGCATTACCATTATATATAAAAAATAATTCTAAGTCTCTTAATTTTAGGTAAGCATCATTTAAATTCCTTACAGTTGCAGTAAGTTCTAGTTTATGGTCACTCTCATTATCGGAAATCAATGTTTTAATCGGATTTAATCAGTAACACAACTAGCTAAGTATACTATAGGATTTTACTACTTAATCTCTAGGTAGTTAAAATTTTAACTCCATGACTTTCGCAAAAGATTGACAATGACAAATCATCTTCCAGGTCTTGTAGTTCCTGATTTTCCACAATTACTTCTCCATTACTATCGATTTTTACAAAACCGCACCTAATAAAAAACTTTTCAATTGTTTTGATCGAAACGTCTCTCCATGCTGAAAAAATCCAAATTAAAGCGTTAGAAACCGGTTTGGATTTCTTCAGTTCAGCCGTTGATAAAGAACATTCTCTAGATGATGATATCATTATTCTTAACTCTTCATTCAAAAACTTTCTATACAGGAATTTAAAATTATTCCTTGGTCTAACGGTTGACAATGTACTGTAAATATCCGGATGGGATGTTGCGTTGTCTTGAAATAAGAGAATTTTTCTTTGTTGACGTTGCATTTTTCCGTCAAATTTATGCATCGAATCTGTCATGATATCTCTGGTCATCCAGGCCTTCTCATCATTTCATAATATTTTTTTTCGATTTAGCATCAAACTTTTCTCTGAATTGTTTGAGTACATGTACATATAGTGTGCATCCAAATATTTTTATATTTTTAATATCAGGTTTCCCATCAATCCATACTTCAGCAGGTGTCACATTATTTACCTTATTGTTCAGAATTTGGTTTAAAATATAAATATTACCTTCGCTAACATGCGATGTCATTGCGGCGTCCTACCAAATTTGACTTTCTGGTCGTGTGAAGCCAGCCATGCGCCTCAGACAGGCGGATACGTTATTCTGTGTGAAGTCTCATATGCTATTCAACGCCGTGAAATGCTTATGGAACATATCGCTCCATTTATTCGAGAACGTCATAACTCAAAAACGAACATTGTGTCAATATCGTGGTTTAAAGATTATTGGTTTTTTACCTTCTGATATTCCCTTAACTTTGAAAACAAATTAAAAGCTTTTATTATGGTTTGATGACTCAAAGGACACTAGTTAACTGGTAGTAGAGACTTTTTCTTAGATTAACAAACTTTTGAATGACAATTACTTGTGTCTTTCTTCTTTAAAAAAATATGCATTTTTAATTATTTTGGTAAAACTTTTTCGTCTTATATTAAAATCTGACTTTCTGTAAAAAAATATTTAAATTGATTTAATAATGTGACACTAAAATAAAGTTAAAATAAACAAAAAAATCTTTTATTTTTTTTTTAAAATTACAATATACAAAGTAAAATATACAAAAAGTAAATGGCACTTACAAGTTTTTATAAAAATCTGCATGACATGAGGGAATGCCTGCATTTTTTAGTAAATCTTAAAGATCAGACTTCTTATGCTCACTAATTTTTATTTTAGATTTGTATACAGGATTAAGGGTCAATGATTTACTGTTGCCGCGAACTGTTTTGATAGTCATTTCCGAAAAGTCTGCCTGAGAATACGAAGTTTTATAAAAAACTGTTAGTGGATCATTTTTATCAATTTTTATAATTCTTATATCGCTTAATTTTTCTCCGCCAACGAAATTTCCAATCCTTACCTGTAAATCTTTTAGATCGAAAAGATCCCTAACTTGAAATGGCTTACCACTTTTTTTTTTGCAGTTCGAAATAAAGTTGTGTATTCGTTAGGTAAGTATATGGAGCTTGATTTTAGGTAACGCTTTACTTGCCGTTCGATTACGGAATGAGCACAATCCCCCTCGTTCTGCGTATGTCCTGTTACCAGGAATTTATGGCATATGGATTTAATATTCGGATACTTTTTTAGTGCATACATATACATAGCAATTACGTACTTGTTTTTTGCTGGCCAGCGCAATTATCTGAGAAAAACACAAGTTCAAGATCATCGCATTCAGATCTACCTTTTGATCTATATAACTTAACAAGCAAGATCCTATTTCGTTTGCTCCTCGATTGCCATTTGTCTCGTTCCAAAACTCGTACAAAAACATTCATCTAAATTTGTGTTTCCTTTCATTTCGTAAATAGTAAAATTTAAAACATTTAATTTGGACTTATAATAAAAAAGAAATACGTTTCCCTTGGGACATGGTAGAACAGCTTGAAAATCAAACACACCGACTATATGATTATTGCTAATTTTCATTTTATCGTTGTTTTTCTCTAATCGCGACAAATCCTTTTCCATGATATGGTTTTCGTAGTCAGTCCTTAGTTCCCCTTTTTGAGTGTCTGAGGCATTATCATAGAAAACACAACATTGGTCCTTTTTAGGAGTAAAGAAAGAAATATTAAAGTTGTTAAAAATTTAGTGATAAGGATACTTTCCATAAGGAATGTTCTTTTGTTAACATTCCTCAACATAATCGCGATACAAATCTGCAAGCGACTTATCACTTTCTATGTACTCACGATTAGACCGACTCCACAGAATAATGAACAATCAGAATGCCCACTCTCCGTGGAAAGTTAAGTACGCGCATATCCTTCGCGCAGACGTTCCGCCATGTTTTAGAGGGATCCATTGTTGTTTATGTGGTGTGTATAGACAAAATTAACCCGGTTTAATTGACTTACGGCAATAATAGATATACTATACAATTATATTAACATTGTTAAATATAATAACATAAATATAATAGAATTAAACATAAATATAAACAGTTACATAACCTCACAAATCATATGTCTGTGTTATGTGTTTCCTTCTAAAACATGGCGCGCTTTCTGAAAAACTTCAAAGGCGGCATCTGAGAGTGGACATTCTGATTGTTTGTTATTCTGTGCCGACTCCTTGTATAATGACTTTTGATCCGAGGAATGCTATTTATGTGGCGTTTCATTTCTTCCCTAATGTTGTCATGAAGTTTTCGGTGGTTTTTATGTTTCCCTCTATAACCTTATACCACCATTTTCTAATATTTCAATTTCCTTGCGGTTTTCTACAATTGTACGAATGTATGTATTATTTTTAGAAATTTATAGAAATAAAAACGTATGCAAAGAAACACACATTTTATTATTTATTTATTAAGAAATTGTACTACAAAGACAACAAAAAATATCAAAAAATAAAATAAATTTAGGCGAAAAAATACATTTATTTAGTACCTACACTGATAAACTGCAAAGAAACAAGATAACCAATAACTGTTTTGACAAATATTGCATTTAATTTTGTGAATGGCGAATTTTTTTATGGCGACTCAATAAACTAGAGTCTATCAAGAACAGCTATTAAATAACATTACCGAAAAAACAAACATTGAGTCTGATTAAATAATATATGCTCTGTTTTATTACGCATAATATATTTGTTTATTACCTTCTCTTATTGACTTTATGCAAACATTATTTTCATTTGTCAATAATTATTAATGATTTTACTAAGCATTCAAATTTGCAAATTATAGTTGTTTATCACCTAATGAGATTTGTTTAGTTCATATCTTTAAATCATAAAATATGAATCAGATATAGAAGCCTTCGTATCTAATAGTATACAAGGCGAATATGAATAATTTTACGAGAGATTTAAAAATTGTAGAAGCTATACCCTTCATGAGCCTTGGGTTTCCATAACAGATTCTCCAGCCTTCTATATTTCCAGTCTTCTTTAAGATTCTATTTTCTGTATCTCTAGATCTGCTTCTACATTGCACAGGAAAAGTTTTTTGGTCTTCCACGTCCTCTATGTCCTACAGACTTTTCAAACATCGATATTCAAAACAGCCGTTCATTTTTCATATTTAAGAAACGTCCATCCATCTCAATTTGTTAATTTTATTATATTATATTAGATTAAAATCATGAATGTGTTGCTTGTGTGAGTCTATTTCAAATAGGTAAAGAAATAATAAATAAGACTTACTCACAATCAATTTAATTTAACTATCAGACGACCGGTTTCGCTATCTACAATATGCAAAGCATCTTCAGGTCTCGATACAAAGTTAAATAAATGCTGAAATAATAATAAACCAATATTAGGGTGTTGTCTAATAAAGATAAACAAAGTAGATGTTATAAAATTATTTGTTATAAAATTACAATAATAATGCCAAATTAATTATTGTAATTATATAACATCTATGATGATGATGATGTAATTTTATAACATCTACTTTGTTTATCTTTATTAGACAATACCCTAATATGGGTTTATTATTATTTCAGCATTTATTTAACTTTGTACTGAGACCTGAAGATGCTTTGCATATTGTAGAAAGCAAAACCGGTCGTCTGATAGTTAAATTAAATTGATTGTGAGTAAGTCTTATTTATTATTTCTTTACCTATATTAGATTAGTTCTGTCAGTAGGTGGTATAGCACAAAATTAAAACAGGGCTCCAAAAATAGTTACTCAACGAACCTTCGCATGACTTAGTTCTTTATAAAATAACTTTTTTAATATTTATTTAAATATATTAAAATAATTTAATAATAATTTCATAATAATTTCACAATAATTTCATAATAATGTCATAATAATTTCATAATAATTTTATTTGTAATTGCAATAATCACACACAATTTATTGATATTTTTATTTTCACAACACTTATTATTTTTAACGCCTTACAGGCAACTAAATTTAAGAAATATGGAAATATAATCTTTCAAATAAAACGTAATAATTTCTTTCGTTATTTTCAGGTATGGCCGTTAACGGTTTCCAGTGAGAATTGTGAGAAAATAGATTGGCTTCAACCATTTAACAATGAGAGCAGTATATGTCATTCCAATGGATGGTTTATTGATAAAAGCGACAAAGACTGTCGACAATATTTTGTATGCATTAAAAATGGCGAAACCTTTATAGTAATTTACTTAAAATGTCCAACTGGACTGCACTTCGATAGCACAATTAATGATTGTAGTACTGAATATATTTGTCCCTATCAGACAATACCTACTACTAGTAATCCATCTACTGAACAAATCAAAACAACCAGTGAATGGTATATTAAAGACAGCTCCAGCCAAGCACCCAGGACAACCACATATCAATCTGACTTAACAAATAGTGACTCAGAATCACTAACAACTAAAAATACACCAACCACATTAGATGGTAATATAAGTTCCAGTACAGAACCTGAACTAACCTCGCTCACGACAGACTCATTCACTAGTGGATCCGATAAAACAATATCGACTATCACAGAATTAACAACAACCGAAAAACAGCAAACAACACCCATCGACGAGTGTTCCTATAATGAAAATCCTGACTACTTCACTTGTACAGTGAAAGGCAGATTCAGAAATGCAAATGACAGAACCTGTACAACCTATTATCTATGCAATGTTTTAAGTAGTGGAAGAGTAATCCAAACGAAATATACTTGTCCTACAAACTCAAACTTTAATCCAGCCAAACAACTTTGTGATGTAGACTATAAATGTCCCTGTCCTTTAGCGCCAGATACAACCATAACCTCAACTTCTCCTACAGTAACAACCGATGACAATATAACTACTGAAGTTTCCACAGAGAAGGAGATAACATCAAGTACAACAGTGATAAGCGATAGAAATACTAATCAAGATAACAACGATAGTAGTACATCAAATACCGAGACAACAGAAAATATAACAAATACTTCAGATAATGAAACAAGTTCCAGCACAGAACCTGAAAGTTACAGCACGGACGATAGTAGTACATCAAATGCTGAGACAACAGAAAAAGTAACAAACACATCAGATGATGAAACAAGTTCCAGCACAGAATTTGAAAGTGCCAGTACCGAATCTGAAATAAACTCGTCCACGACAGACTCATCCACTAGTGGATCCGATATAATAACATCGACTACCCCAGAAATAACTACAACTGAAAAACAGGAAACACCTATTGACGAGTGTTCCTATAATGAAGATCCTGATTACTTTACATGTACAGTGAAAGGCAGATTCAGAAATGCAAATGATAGAACCTGTACAACCTATTATCTATGCAATGTTTTAAGTAGTGGAAGAGTAATCCAAACGAAATATACCTGTCCTACAAACTCAAACTTTAATCCAGCCAGACAACTTTGCGATGTAGACTATAAATGTCCTTGTCCTTCAGTACCAGACACTACTATAACCTTAACTTCTCCTACAGTCACAACCGATATAACTACTGAAGTTTCCACAGAGGAGGAGATAACATCAACTAAAACAGTGACAACCGATAGAAATACTAATCAAGATAACAATGATAGTAGTACATCAAATACCGAGACAACAGAAAATATAACAAACACTTCAGATAATAATACAAGTTCCAGCACAGAATCTGAACTAACTTCGTCCACGACAGACTCATCCACTAGTGGATCCGATATAATAACATCGACTACCCCAGAAATAACTACAACCGAAAAACAGGAAACACCTATTGACGAGTGTTCCTATAATGAAGATCCTGATTACTTTACATGTACAGTGAAAGGCAGATTCAGAAATGCAAATGATAGAACCTGTACAACCTATTATCTATGCAATGTTTTAAGTAGTGGAAGAGTAATCCAAACGAAATATACCTGTCCTACAAACTCAAACTTTAATCCAGCCAAACAACTTTGCGATGTAGACTATAAATGTCCTTGTCCTTCAGTACCAGACACTACTATAACCTCAACTTCTCCTACAGTCACAACCGATGACAATATAACTACTGAAGTTTCCACAGAGGAGGAGATAACATCAACTACAACAGTGACAAACGATAGAAATACTAATCAAGATAACAACGATAGTAGTACATCAAATACCGAGACAACAGAAAATATAACAAACACTTCAGATAATAATACAAGTTCCAGCACAGAATCTGAAATAACTTCGTCCACGACAGACTCATCCACTAGTGGATCCGATATAATAACATCGACTACCCCAGAAATAACTACAACCGAAAAACAGGAAACACCTATTGACGAGTGTTCCTATAATGAAGATCCTGATTACTTTACATGTACAGTGAAAGGCAGATTCAGAAATGCAAATGATAGAACCTGTACAACCTATTATCTATGCAATGTTTTAAGTAGTGGAAGAGTAATCCAAACGAAATATACCTGTCCTACAAACTCAAACTTTAATCCAGCCAAACAACTTTGCGATGTAGACTATAAATGTCCTTGTCCTTCAGTACCAGACACTACTATAACCTCAATTTCTCCCACAGTCACAACCGATGACAATATAACTACTGAAATTTCCAAAGAGGAGGAGATAACATCAACTACAACAGTGACAACCGATAGAAATACTAATCCAGATAACAACGATAGTAGTACATCAAATACCGAGACAACAAAAAATATAACAAACACTTCAGATAATAATACAAGTTCCAGCACAGAATCTGAACTAACTTCGTCCACGACAGACTCATCCACTAGTGGATCCGATATAATAACATCGACTACCCCAGAAATAACTACAACCGAAAAACAGGAAACACCTATTGACGAGTGTTCCTATAATGAAGATCCTGATTACTTTACATGTACAGTGAAAGGCAGATTCAGAAATGCAAATGATAGAACCTGTACAACCTATTATCTATGCAATGTTTTAAGTAGTGGAAGAGTAATCCAAACGAAATATACCTGTCCTACAAACTCAAACTTTAATCCAGCCAAACAACTTTGCGATGTAGACTATAAATGTCCTTGCCCTTCAGTACCAGACACTACTATAACCTCAACTTCTCCTACAGTCACAACCGATGAAAATATAACTACTGAAGTTTCCACAGAGGACGAGATAACATCAAGTACAACAGTGACAACCGATAGAAATACTAATCAAGACAACAACGATAGTAGTACATCAAATACCGAGACAACAAAAAATATAACAAACACTTCAGATAATAATACAAGTTCCAGCACAGAATCTGAACTAACTTCGTCCACGACAGACTCATCCACTAGTGGATCCGATATAATAACATCGACTACCCCAGAAATAACTACAACCGAAAAACAAGAAACACCTATTGACGAGTGTTCCTATAATGAAGATCCTGATTACTTTACATGTACAGTGAAAGGCAGATTCAGAAATGCAAATGATAGAACCTGTACAACCTATTATCTATGCAATGTTTTAAGTAGTGGAAGAGTAATCCAAACGAAATATACCTGTCCTACAAACTCAAACTTTAATCCAGCCAAACAACTTTGCGATGTAGACTATAAATGTCCTTGTCCTTCAGTACCAGACACTACTATAACCTCAACTTCTCCTACAGTCACAACCGATGACAATATAACTACTGAAGTTTCCACAGAGGAGGAGATAACATCAACTACAACAGTGACAAACGATAGAAATACTAATCAAGATAACAACGATAGTAGTACATCAAATACCGAGACAACAGAAAATATAACAAACACTTCAGATAATAATACAAGTTCCAGCACAGAATCTGAAATAACTTCGTCCACGACAGACTCATCCACTAGTGGATCCGATATAATAACATCGACTACCCCAGAAATAACTACAACCGAAAAACAGGAAACACCTATTGACGAGTGTTCCTATAATGAAGATCCTGATTACTTTACATGTACAGTGAAAGGCAGATTCAGAAATGCAAATGATAGAACCTGTACAACCTATTATCTATGCAATGTTTTAAGTAGTGGAAGAGTAATCCAAACGAAATATACCTGTCCTACAAACTCAAACTTTAATCCAGCCAAACAACTTTGCGATGTAGACTATAAATGTCCTTGTCCTTCAGTACCAGACACTACTATAACCTCAATTTCTCCCACAGTCACAACCGATGACAATATAACTACTGAAATTTCCACAGAGGACGAGATAACATCAAGTACAACAGTGACAACCGATAGAAATACTAATCAAGACAACAACGATAGTAGTACATCAAATACCGAGACAACAGAAAATATAACAAACACTTCAGATAATAATACAAGTTCCAGCACAGAATCTGAACTAACTTCGTCCACGACAGACTCATCCACTAGTGGATTCGATATAATAACATCGACTACCCCAGAAATAACTACAACCGAAAAACAGGAAACACCTATTGACGAGTGTTCCTATAATGAAGATCCTGATTACTTTACATGTACAGTGAAAGGCAGATTCAGAAATGCAAATGATAGAACCTGTACAACCTATTATCTATGCAATGTTTTAAGTAGTGGAAGAGTAATCCAAACGAAATATACCTGTCCTACAAACTCAAACTTTAATCCAGCCAAACAACTTTGCGATGTAGACTATAAATGTCCTTGTCCTTCAGTACCAGACACTACTATAACCTCAATTTCTCCCACAGTCACAACCGATGAAAATATAACTACTGAAGTTTCCACAGAGAACGAGATAACATCAAGTACAACAGTGACAACCGATAGAAATAATAATCAAGACAACAACGATAGTAGTACATCAAATACCGAGACAACAGAAAATATAACAAACACCTCAGATAATAATACAAGTTCCAGCATCGAATCTGAACTAACTTCGTCCACGACAGACTCATCCACTAGTGGATCCGATATAATAACATCGACTACCCCAGATTTAACTACAACCGAAAAACAGGAAACACCTCTTGACGAGTGTTCTTATAATGAAGATCCTGATTACTTTACATGTACAGTGAAAGGCAGATTCAGAAATGCAAATGATAGAACCTGTACAACTTATTATCTATGCAATGTTTTAAGTAGTGGAAGAGTAATCCAAACGAAATATACCTGTCCTACAAACTCAAACTTTAATCCAGCCAAACAACTTTGCGATGTAGACTATAAATGTCCTTGCCCTTCAGTACCAGACACTACTATAACCTCAACTTCTCCTACAGTCACAACCGATGAAAATATAACTACTGAAGTTTCCACAGAGGACGAGATAACATCAAGTACAACAGTGACAACCGATAGAAATACTAATCAAGACAACAACGATAGTAGTACATCAAATACCGAGACAACAGAAAATATAACAAACACCTCAGATAATAATACAAGTTCCAGCACCGAATCTGAACTATCTTCGTCCACGACAGACTCATCCACTAGTGGATCCGATATAATAACATCGACTACCCCAGATTTAACTACAACCGAAAAACAGGAAACACCTATTGACAAGTGTTCTTATAATGAAGATCCTGATTACTTTACATGTACAGTGAAAGGCAGATTCAGAAATGCAAATGATAGAACCTGTACAACCTATTATCTATGCAATGTTTTAAGTAGTGGAAGAGTAATCCAAACGAAATATACCTGTCCTACAAACTCAAACTTTAATCCAGCCAAACAACTTTGCGATGTAGACTATAAATGTCCTTGTCCTTCAGTACCAGACACTACTATAACCTCAACTTCTCCTACAGTCACAACCGATGACAATATAACTACTGAAGTTTCCACAGAGGAGGAGATAACATCAAGTACAACAGTGACAACCGATAGAAATACTAATCAAGATAACAACGATAGTAGTACATCAAATACCGAGACAACAGAAAATATAACAAACACTTCAGATAATAATACAAGTTCCAGCACAGAATCTGAACTAACTTCGTCCACGACAGACTCATCCACTAGTGGATCCGATATAATAACATCGACTACCCCAGAAATAACTACAACCGAAAAACAGGAAACACCTATTGACGAGTGTACCTATAATGAAGATCCTGATTACTTTACATGTACAGTGAAAGGCAGATTCAGAAATGCAAATGATAGAACCTGTACAACCTATTATCTATGCAATGTTTTAAGTAGTGGAAGAGTAATCCAAACGAAATATACCTGTCCTACAAACTCAAACTTTAATCCAGCCAAACAACTTTGCGATGTAGACTATAAATGTCCTTGCCCTTCAGTACCAGACACTACTATAACCTCAACTTCTCCTACAGTCACAACCGATGAAAATATAACTACTAAAGTTTCCACAGAGGACGAGATAACATCAAGTACAACAGTGACAACCGATAGAAATACTAATCAAGACAACAACGATAGTAGTACATCAAATACCGAGACAACAGAAAATATAACAAACACCTCAGATAATAATACAAGTTCCAGCACCGAATCTGAACTAACTTCGTCCACGACAGACTCATCCACTAGTGGATCCGATATAATAACATCGACTACCCCAGATTTAACTACAACCGAAAAACAGGAAACACCTATTGACAAGTGTTCTTATAATGAAGATCCTGATTACTTTACATGTACAGTGAAAGGCAGATTCAGAAATGCAAATGATAGAACCTGTACAACCTATTATCTATGCAATGTTTTAAGTAGTGGAAGAGTAATCCAAACGAAATATACCTGTCCTACAAACTCAAACTTTAATCCAGCCAAACAACTTTGCGATGTAGACTATAAATGTCCTTGCCCTTCAGTACCAGACACTACTATAACCTCAACTTCTCCTACAGTCACAACCGATGACAATATAACTACTGAAGTTTCCACAGAGGACGAGATAACATCAAGTACAACAGTGACAACCGATAGAAATACTAATCAAGACAACAACGATAGTAGTACATCAAATACCGAGACAACAGAAAATATAACAAACACTTCAGATAATAATACAAGTTCCAGCACAGAATCTGAACTAACTTCGTCCACGACAGACTCATCCACTAGTGGATCCGATATAATAACATCGACTACCCCAGAAATAACTACAACCGAAAAACAGGAAACACCTATTGACGAGTGTACCTATAATGAAGATCCTGATTACTTTACATGTACAGTGAAAGGCAGATTCAGAAATGCAAATGATAGAACCTGTACAACCTATTATCTATGCAATGTTTTAAGTAGTGGAAGAGTAATCCAAACGAAATATACCTGTCCTACAAACTCAAACTTTAATCCAGCCAAACAACTTTGCGATGTAGACTATAAATGTCCTTGCCCTTCAGTACCAGACACTACTATAACCTCAACTTCTCCTACAGTCACAACCGATGAAAATATAACTACTAAAGTTTCCACAGAGGACGAGATAACATCAAGTACAACAGTGACAACCGATAGAAATACTAATCAAGACAACAACGATAGTAGTACATCAAATACCGAGACAACAGAAAATATAACAAACACCTCAGATAATAATACAAGTTCCAGCACCGAATCTGAACTAACTTCGTCCACGACAGACTCATCCACTAGTGGATCCGATATAATAACATCGACTACCCCAGATTTAACTACAACCGAAAAACAGGAAACACCTATTGACGAGTGTTCTTATAATGAAGATCCTGATTACTTTACATGTACAGTGAAAGGCAGATTCAGAAATGCAAATGATAGAACCTGTACAACCTATTATCTATGCAATGTTTTAAGTAGTGGAAGAGTAATCCAAACGAAATATACCTGTCCTACAAACTCAAACTTTAATCCAGCCAAACAACTTTGCGATGTAGACTATAAATGTCCTTGCCCTTCAGTACCAGACACTACTATAACCTCAACTTCTCCTACAGTCACAACCGATGAAAATATAACTACTAAAGTTTCCACAGAGGACGAGATAACATCAAGTACAACAGTGACAACCGATAGAAATACTAATCAAGACAACAACGATAGTAGTACATCAAATACCGAGACAACAGAAAATATAACAAACACCTCAGATAATAATACAAGTTCCAGCACCGAATCTGAACTATCTTCGTCCACGACAGACTCATCCACTAGTGGATCCGATATAATAACATCGACTACCCCAGATTTAACTACAACCGAAAAACAGGAAACACCTATTGACGAGTGTTCTTATAATGAAGATCCTGATTACTTTACATGTACAGTGAAAGGCAGATTCAGAAATGCAAATGATAGAACCTGTACAACCTATTATCTATGCAATGTTTTAAGTAGTGGAAGAGTAATCCAAACGAAATATACCTGTCCTACAAACTCAAACTTTAATCCAGCCAAACAACTTTGCGATGTAGACTATAAATGTCCTTGTCCTTCAGTACCAGACACTACTATAACCTCAACTTCTCCTACAGTCACAACCGATGACAATATAACTACTGAAGTTTCCACAGAGGACGAGATAACATCAAGTACAACAGTGACAACCGATAGAAATACTAATCAAGACAACAACGATAGTAGTACATCAAATACCGAGACAACAGAAAATATAACAAACACTTCAGATAATAATACAAGTTCCAGCACAGAATCTGAACTAACTTCGTCCACGACAGACTCATCCACTAGTGGATCCGATATAATAACATCGACTACCCCAGAAATAACTACAACCGAAAAACAGGAAACACCTATTGACGAGTGTTCTTATAATGAAGATCCTGATTACTTTACATGTACAGTGAAAGGCAGATTCAGAAATGCAAATGATAGAACCTGTACAACCTATTATCTATGCAATGTTTTAAGTAGTGGAAGAGTAATCCAAACGAAATATACCTGTCCTACAAACTCAAACTTTAATCCAGCCAAACAACTTTGCGATGTAGACTATAAATGTCCTTGCCCTTCAGTACCAGACACTACTATAACCTCAACTTCTCCTACAGTCACAACCGATGAAAATATAACTACTAAAGTTTCCACAGAGGACGAGATAACATCAAGTACAACAGTGACAACCGATAGAAATACTAATCAAGACAACAACGATAGTAGTACATCAAATACCGAGACAACAGAAAATATAACAAACACCTCAGATAATAATACAAGTTCCAGCACCGAATCTGAACTATCTTCGTCCACGACAGACTCATCCACTAGTGGATCCGATATAATAACATCGACTACCCCAGATTTAACTACAACCGAAAAACAGGAAACACCTATTGACGAGTGTTCTTATAATGAAGATCCTGATTACTTTACATGTACAGTGAAAGGCAGATTCAGAAATGCAAATGATAGAACCTGTACAACCTATTATCTATGCAATGTTTTAAGTAGTGGAAGAGTAATTCAAACGAAATATACCTGTCCTACAAACTCAAACTTTAATCCAGCCAAACAACTTTGCGATGTAGACTATAAATGTCCTTGCCCTTCAGTACCAGACACTACTATAACCTCAACTTCTCCTACAGTCACAACCGATGAAAATATAACTACTAAAGTTTCCACAGAGGACGAGATAACATCAAGTACAACAGTGACAACCGATAGAAATACTAATCAAGACAACAACGATAGTAGTACATCAAATACCGAGACAACAGAAAATATAACAAACACCTCAGATAATAATACAAGTTCCAGCACCGAATCTGAACTATCTTCGTCCACGACAGACTCATCCACTAGTGGATCCGATATAATAACATCGACTACCCCAGATTTAACTACAACCGAAAAACAGGAAACACCTATTGACGAGTGTTCTTATAATGAAGATCCTGATTACTTTACATGTACAGTGAAAGGCAGATTCAGAAATGCAAATGATAGAACCTGTACAACCTATTATCTATGCAATGTTTTAAGTAGTGGAAGAGTAATCCAAACGAAATATACCTGTCCTACAAACTCAAACTTTAATCCAGCCAAACAACTTTGCGATGTAGACTATAAATGTCCTTGTCCTTCAGTACCAGACACTACTATAACCTCAACTTCTCCTACAGTCACAACCGATGAAAATATAACTACTGAAGTTTCCACAGAGGACGAGATAACATCAAGTACAACAGTGACAACCGATAGAAATACTAATCAAGACAACAACGATAGTAGTACATCAAATACCGAGACAACAGAAAATATAACAAACACCTCAGATAATAATACAAGTTCCAGCACAGAATCTGAACTAACTTCGTCCACGACAGACTCATCCACTAGTGGATCCGATGTAATAACATCGACTACCCCAGATTTAACTACAACCGAAAAACAGGAAACACCTATTGACGAGTGTTCCTATAATGAAGATCCTGATTACTTTACATGTACAGTGAAAGGCAGATTCAGAAATGCAAATGATAGAACCTGTACAACCTATTATCTATGCAATGTTTTAAGTAGTGGAAGAGTAATCCAAACGAAATATACCTGTCCTACAAACTCAAACTTTAATCCAGTCAAACAACTTTGCGATGTAGACTATAAATGTCCTTGTCCTTCGGTATCAGACACTACTATAACCTCAACTTTTCCTACAGTCACAACCGATGACAATATAACTACTGAAGTTTCCACAGAGGAGGAGATAACATCAAGTACAACAGTGACAATAGATAGAAATACTAATCAAGATAACAACGATAGTAGTACATCAAATACCGAGACAACAGAAAATATAACAAACACGTCAGATAATAATACAAGTTCGAGCACAGAATCTGAACTAACCTCGTCGACGACGGACTCATTAACTAGTGGATCCGATACGTCAATATCGACTACACCATATTTAACTACAACCGAAAAACAGGAAACACCTATTGACGAGTGTTCCTATAATGAAAATCCTGATTACTTTACATGTACAGTGAAAGGCAGATTCAGAAATGCAAATGATAAAACTTGTACAACCTATTATCTATGCAATGTTTTAAGTAGTGGAAGAGTAATCCAAACGAAATATACTTGTCCTACAAACTCAAACTTTAATCCAGCCAAACAACTTTGCGATGTAGACTATAAATGTCCCTGTCCTTCAGCATCAGAAACTACCATAACCTCAACTTCTCCTACAGTCACAACCGATGACAACATAACTACTGAAGTTTCCACAGAGGAGGAGATAATATCAAGTACAACAGTGACAACCGATAGAAATAATAATTCAGAAAATTCTACGTCTATATCAACAGTAACGACGATTTCTGAAGGCTGTCATTATGAAGAAGATCCAAATTATTTTACTTGTACATCATCAGGTAGTTTCCCCAATAATAACGACCGAAGTTGTGGTACCTATTTCTACTGCATAAATGTTCTAGATCCGATACTTATCATTAAGTCGAAATATTCCTGTTACCAAAATACTTACTTTAACCCTGAAACACAAATATGTGAGGCGGAGTATTTATGTCCATGTAACACTAGTTTTCCGGACAGTTCTTCTGTTATACCTGGATTAAGTACAACAGAACTTAGTACATTATTTCCGACGGGTAAAGTAACTACGGAAGAAACTAGTTTGGATTCCGCCACAACAGAAGCAGCGCAAAGTGATATTTGTATTTATGAAGAAGATCCAGATTATTTTACCTGCACAACGTCCGGAAGTTTTCCTAATTATAATGACAGAAGTTGCAAAACATATTTTTATTGCGTAAATATTCTTGATCCAATACTTATAATAAAGTCACAGTATACGTGTGATAAAGACACCTACTTTAATCCCTTAACGAAAACCTGTGAAGCTGAATATGTATGCCCTTGTATTGGTCGGTCCAGCAGTACAAGCGACATAACACAAACAACTGGGCCAACGACCATAACTACTACACAAGTAACAACGTCAAAGGAAATAGGTACTGATAAAACCACTGCTTCAGTTACATTTAGCACTAGTGTATCGGAATTAACTGACTCGGAGTATAATAGTACCATAAGTCATCAACCGATGACCTCCACTGAATCGATATCCAGTACTACACAAGGAGAGAAATGTTTCTATAATGATGATCCCAATTACTTTATATGCAGCGTAAAAGGAAGATTTAGGAACGAAAATGACAGAAGCTGCCAAACTTATTATCTTTGCAACGTTTTAAGTAGTGGAAGAATTATTCAAACTAAATATAGTTGTCCTACAAATTCGTTCTTTAATGAAGAGAAGCAGTTGTGTGACGTATCCTATAAATGTCCCTGTTAATCAAAAGATGTAATTGCTACAAAAATATATTTGATACCACCTTTCAAATTAATATATATCTTTTTTTATAGTAACAACTGTAACAATTAATATTTAAATTTTAAATAACATGGGCATAATGATAAAACATATTATTTTAACTGATATAATAATTAAATAATTTAATGTGTAAAAACATGTGTTTAAACATAATCTCCTTTTACAAAATTCACTTAATTCAGCAGTATTCCAATGCCGTTATCCCTCATTCTAGTATTCTACTGAGGTGTTGCAAAGAACTGATCTATATAATCAATTTTTTCCTAATTATTAAGCGAACGGTTAATCGTAGGCGGCGGTCTTCTTTTTAAAAATAGATGCAAGTACGATGAAGCCAAATCAGAGAAATATGGTAGATATTCTGGCACACTGTAAGAACACACTGAAAGACAGTAAATTTTACTGACGGAAAGGGACTTTTTTCTTTAGTTTGAGTCAGTTATCGCGAATACTTGCATTTAGTTTTATTAGATGTTGAGAGAAGTATTAGTATAAGTTTTAACAGTATTATGAACTACACACCAGCAACTATACTCAGACAACACTAGAAGAAATTCTGAAAGTGAATATAAAAGTGAACCCTCCCCCAAAATATTGAAGTCAGAAGTTGTAAGGGCAATCAAACAGAGCAAATGGGGAAAAGCAGCAGGCCCAGACGACATATACATAGAGGTTCTAACAATGTTGAACGAGGACAATATAAACGCCTTGGTAGATCTTTCTAATGACAATTATACAATTAAATATAATAGTAAACAATAAGAACATCCAAAAGGTCCCCAAGTTCAGATATCTCAGTAGTTAGATATCTGAAGATCTAGATCCAGACATAGAGACACGTAGCAGGATTTACTAATATGAAAACCTTGCTAAGCAACAGCAGCCTTAACTTAACACTTCAATATCGCTTTGTAAAATGTTACATTTATTCCATACTGCCATATGGTGTAGAAACCTGGACCATAAAGGCCAATGTGATGAACCGATTGGAGGCCTTTGAAATGTGGGTATTTAAAAGACTACTTAAAATTCCCTGGACAGATCGCACAACAAATGTCGAAGTATTAAATCGAATGGGTAGAGAATGAGAATTGCCAATAATAAAAATAAGAAAAACTGCTAATCTGGATCATGTGGAATGGCCGCTATAAGGCTGACGACACTTTCGGAGCACCACCTTCTCTTATCTAGAACTAATTTTTGTCGTTAGTTCGTCTTATGTAACTCCTCTTCTTCTTCTTTATTTTTAATTACCGTTCGGATGTAATTATGTACAATATTCCGCTCCTTCTTACTTTCCGTCATCTTCACGATCATCACTCTCACAGTAACATAATGTTTCTCTCCACTATTCATCTATTACACTCCAGCATTGTATATGTTACAGTGTCAGAGTATTCGCAGTATAGATATTTATCTGTATTTGTCTTTCTGAACCTGTGAAGATATGCTCTAAAATACCCATGTCCTGTAAACACTTGCATCAGGAAGTAATACAGTCGCCTGTGACCACAGTCTACCTAGTTCCTTAGGCTCGGGATTAGCATCTTGGTCCACTAGGCAACATCTTTCATATTGTTCCACTCTTCTTGCCATATTTCCATTGATCTTCCTCTTTATTTTTTTTATGGCTGTCAAATGTTCTCTTTTCTCATAGGGATGTTTCCTTTTTACTGCTAACACATACAGAGGAATACAACCCGTGATAATCGATAGGGCTGCCACAGATATAGCCTTGTAAGCGCATGCTACTCGCAACAGACTTGTCCTGTCTACTCATATTATGAGCCGGTAGATCGGTCGCGTCACTCCAGAATTGTGCCGCTTAAAGGATGATGGACTGCGCAACACTGTGTAAAACTTTTCTTCTTACTATCTTGTATCTAGGGTATGTGGAGTTTGGTGTACTCCACATACCCTAAGAGTAGCATCTAGGAGTGTTTTGAATTGGTTGGTAGACTTTCTTGCAGTGTTAAATGACGTCCAGAAATAGGTCAACGTAACCGAAAAATCACGTGAGTAGTATTGCGATCACTATCAGATCGAACCGCCTTATAACTATACAATAGTATACATATTTGTACTTCCCAAGTTTTTTTTTTATTATTTTCAAGTTAAGATACTTTTGCCGGCTCTGGTAATATTTTAACTTGAGACATTCTTGTATATTTTTTATCGTGTATAACATTAAAGGATTTTTATCTGCTTCATAATTTTAAATTTGGCTTTAATTCACATTATAGCGCTATATTGCGATCACCATAATCATTCTCAGCGTATTCTACCAATTATGGTGCAGCCGTCCTTATACAGTCATTCTTTATGTCTGCCCAAGATTGTCTAATATTCATTTTTATGTGCCACGTTGTACCAGTTTGTTTCCTTATGTCTTAGTCCCATCTTAAATTTGGACGTCTTCTTGGTCTCTTGACGCCTCTTACTTGATACCACAGTGTAATTTTAGTAGATCACTATTGTCAGTTCTTCTCTCTAGAACGCTGTCCCGCCCACTACCATTTTAAAGATTTAATTTTATGCATTACATCAATCACTTTCATTTGCTTTCTGAGTGAGTTTCGCTTTTATCTCTTTCTTCAGTGTGCCAGTTTCGCAGCCCTTTGCCATGATTGGTAGTGTTTAGGATTAAACTTGAGAGGTCGCTAATTAAATTATATTAGATAAATAATTATAACGAACAATGCAACATTTGTTTATACATAAAATTATCGAAAATAACAACTATAAATTGTGAATAAGTTGTGAAATCAACTGGTTTACTCATTATTGTTGTTTTGTACAAAGAACAGACTTACCCTTTGAAGATATTGATGCCGTCTTAACAGGAATGAGGAGTTGGTCGTGATACCGACGCTAGCGTCGCCGCCGAGGCTCAGCACGAGAACCGTCCGAAACTAGGTCCGTGTCGATCGTTGTCTCATGAAGAAGTGGTGGTCCGAGAGGGTGTACCAATAAATCATTCCATTGTATTGCGACCTTTCCGATTTTAACTAATTCTGACGGTAACACGAAACTTTACACTTTTGTGTATATTTTTGAACCATACAAAAGAGAAGCCAAATTCTCCGTATTCACAACATCATAAATAAGATATCCAGTTTAAGTTTTATGAGACAACAGGAAACAATATATTTCAAAAGGTCTTTAAAATATAGCACCAAATTAGATCACATTACAGTACCGTAACAGAAGAAATATTAACTGTAAAGATATGAAATGAATTCGCACATACTTTCCCAAACAGGTAGTATACCATGATCAAATGCTTTTTCCTTCAGTTCTTCCAAAAGATGCCCAAGCCAGTTTCATTCTTTTGCTGATTTCTAGGAGTAAGGAGCCAGAGTTATGTACTAATTGTCCGAAGTATACATACTCATCTCCTGTATCAAGTGCAGTGTTTATTATTACATCTTGGACATCCACATCGTCTATGTCCAAGACGTCGGAAACGTCTTGGACATAGCTCGTTGTACATGATTTTTGTTTTTTGTCAAGTTTATTTTTAGGCCAACTTTATTTGCTAGCATTCTTAATCAGTATAGTTTCGATAAGTTAGAATATGTAAAATTAATTGGGGAAAGAATCAATATAAAAGATATTTATTTTTCGACATTTTTTCCTTCCTTAGATGTAGCTTCCTCCAAGTTAATATTAGTTATTGGTCTAGAATCTGGATCTTCTAACATCAATAGTATTCTTCCCAAGTTAATTTTACATGTGATTCTCATGTTTTAGTTTCTTTAAAACATTTATCTGGTAATGTCATAGTAAAATACATATAAAACTCTTTATTTGTAATGTTACTTTTAAGCTCGTATCAATAATATCTAATAGATTTTATAGTCCGGTAGTCAGAGTCCCTAAAAAGTATACGAACAAACTGAATTTTGCCAAGAATATTAATTTTGGGACTCCAAAAAGTTGCAAAACAGTTTATCACTTTTACCTTCGAGCTTCCCTTAAAACCCTATCGTAGCGTGGTAAAAACGCACAAAAAGTGATTTACCAAGAATCTGTACGCCATAGAAAAAAAATTTTTAATTAAAAAATGTAGCTGAGACAATTTCAAACAAAAATGGTTAGGTATATAGGTATATAGGTATATAGGTATATAGGTATATAGGTATATAGGTATATAGGTATATAGGTATATAGGTATATAGGTATATAGGTATACAATATATTTTAATGTAGAATAAACCGTTCTTTCAGCTTGAAGCGACCGTCGATTTTGAATGTCAGATACGAAATGCGAAATTAATTCAATAAAATTTGTATCTGCTCGACGGTAAAAATTAGATATTTTTGTGTTTGTATTTTGCCGCAATTATACTTAGTTTTTATAAAAATGTTACATAAATAAACGTGACGCGATTTTTGCCATTTTTTACGATTCTCGAGAGATCAATAAAATTGATAACTTTTATTGACCAGTTGTAGTGAAACTTTCATTTTTAGAGACCAATCTTTAAAACCTATGACACGAAATTTTAATTTTGAGTTGTGTCAACAAATATGAGGCATTTGAAATATTAAGGCTGTTTTAGCAGTCAAAGCACACTGCGATTTGAAATGGGCGTATCGACAGTTTAACGACAATAAATGCATTATTCTCCATATATTCTCCATGGTGAATATTTATAATAAATTTAAAATAACAAAAATATTATCATAAAAAAAAATACAATTTGTTGTCACTAAGAAATAAACAATTTCGCAGTTATAGCTTGAAAATGATTTCAAATCGAACTAACTGACCGTACGTTCATGAGATTTGACGTCACGAAGCCGATAACGCTGGAAGTAAGTGCCAATGATGAGTAACAGATTAGATTTCAGTATTTTTTAGCAATTTTCTTCAAAATTTGAACACGCTTTTCTCGATTATTACTGGACACAGAAAGGTGAAAAAAAATCAACGATTACAGAAAAAAAACT